CAAATGCAGAAGCTGCATGAAGAACGTGCTAGAGCAATCACAGAGAGGCGAGCGGCCGACAACAACGATGAGATTTCCGAAATTGAACAAGCCATTATTGCTGCAAGGGCTGAACTCCGAAAAGGAGGAGACAACCCGGAAAAATTGGCGGCAGCCATTGCTGCTTCTCAAGCCTCATCTGTCAATGCAATAACTGCCAAAAATGCACCAGTTGAGCTTGACGAGTTCGGCCGTGACGTAAATCTTCAGAAGCGTATGGATATCTCGAGAAGGGTGGAATCTCGTAAAAAAAGAAGGGAAAAAGCCGATTCCAAGAGGAAGCTAGCCATGGAAAGAGATAGTTCTTTTAAGCAAATGGAAGGGGAATTGAGCACTGATGAAAGTGATAGCGAGAGCACGGCTTACGAGTCGACCCACAGTCAATTGCTAGAGGTCGCCGAGAAAATTTTCAGTGATGCGGCCGAGGAGTTCGCTCAATTTTCAGTTGTGGTGGAAAGGTTCGACCGGTGGAAGAAAGACTACGCCTTGAGCTATCGTGAAGCATATATGTCCTTGAGCGTGCCCGCCATTTTCTCGCCCTACGTCAGGTTGGAGCTTCTAAAGTGGGACCCACTTCATGAGGATGCAGATTTTATAGATATGAAATGGTACGTAATATGGATGATACTCATCGATGTGGTATTTTTTTCTATAATAACATTTCTTTCCTCCTTATTTGGTTTCGTGGGCAGCTTGGACTTAGACTCTGTATATGTATATTTGCTGTTCCTTCATCTTTTTTGTTCTACTGGATTTAGCCTTCCAACACTGTATTTCCTTTACTTCCTCTGATAAGTGATAACGACATGCTTGTAATTGAAATTTGATTTTAAAGAAGCTGATTTCGGAAAACAGGAAAAGTAAGCAGCATTCAATTGTGTGTAAGCTATACTGTCATTTTTTGAACAATTTGAACACCCTATTATGTGTAAATGTGTAATTTAATTGAACATGTTATTTCCTATTTATCCAGGCACTCTTTGCTATTCAATTACGGGCGTCCAGAGGATGAAACCAAAAGCAGTGAAGGCGACACAGGGGATGATGCTGATGCGAATATAATTCCTGAATTGGTTGAAAAACTTGCGATTCCTATTCTACACCACCAGTTAGCTTATTGTTGGGACATTCTTAGCACCCGTGAAACAAAATTTGCTGTTTCTGCTATGAATTTGGTCATTGGATATGTGGATCTCTCCAGTTCAGCCCTGGGGGAGTTGGTGAATGTGCTTCGTGATCGTCTCACTAAGGCAGTGGCCGATTTAATTGTAATGTCCCCCAAAATTTGCTGTGTCCGTACTTCTCTGTTGAATTAAACTGGATACGATATTTAAGTATTTATAATTTTTTGTTTCCAATTAATAGGTACCCACGTGGAGCCCACTTGAAATGAAAGCCGTGCCTAATGCAGCACGAGTGGCGGCTTATAGGTTTGGAGTGTCTGTTCGTCTCTTGAGGAACATATGCCTGTGGAATAAAATTCTGGCTATGCCCGTCTTGGAAAAAATTGCCCTTGATGAGCTTTTGAGTGGCAAGGTTCTTCCTCATCTTTTCAGCATACAGTCGAACGTCCATGATGCGGTTTTAAGAGCAGAGAGGGTTAT